GCCCACGTTTTCCCTAGTCTTCCTTTTGCTATTGATGTATTTGAAGAAGGCCTTCTTGTTGTCCTTGACATCCCTCACCAGATTTAGTTCGAACTGGGCCTTAGCCTTCCTTGTCGCATCCCTGCACGCTCTGACAACGTCCCTGTATTCCTCCCAAGTGGCCTGTCCCCTTTTCCACATTCTGTGTACTTCCTTCTTCTGTTGGAGTTTTGCCAGGAGTTCCTTGCTCATCCATGCAAGTCTCCTGCCCGCTTTGCTGGATTTCTTACTCAGAGGGATGCACCGATCTTAAGCCTGGAGGAAGTGATATTTGAATATTAACCAGCTCTCCTGGACCCCCCTTCCTTCTAGGGCCCTACCCCATGAGATTCCCCTAAGCAGGTCCCTGAAGAGGCCAAAGTTAGCTGTCCTGAAGTCCAGGGTTGCGATCCTACTCATTGCCCTGCTCCCTCCTCGTAGGATCCTGAACTCCACCATCTCACGGTCACTGCAGCCAAGGCTGCCCCCAGCCTCTACATCTCCAACTAGACCTTCTTTGTTTGTTAGTACAAGTTCTAGCAGTGCACCTCTCCTTCTTGGCGTCTCCACCATCTATGTCAAGAAATTATCATCAGTGCTCTGCAGGAACCTCTTTGAATGTTTGTGTCTAGCTGTGCTGTCTTCTCAGCACATGTCAGGATGGTTAAAGTCCCCCAGGAGAACCAGAGCCTGTGATCATGAGGCTACTTCCAGCTGTCTGCAGAAGGCCTCATTGACTTCCTCTTCCATCTCCTTAGCCATAGGCGGAGAAATTTTGTAAGAAATGCTCTGTCAGGGCACCTGACTGCAAATTCTGCACCTAATATACACATATAAATATGAAGGATATAACTCCAGAGAAGTAGCCACTATATGCTTGGAGCCTTCCATCGAATGAGACAGTTAGGTAGGAGTGTAACCAGTGCTCCTTCAGGTTTAGAAAAATAAATCTGTAGATATCGTGAGTCTTACAACAGGTTAGAACAAGGCATCATCCACTCCAGTGCTTAAATTCTGAAACAGAGCTGGTATAACAGCTAACATAACAGGTTACAGGAGCATTTTCCTGGCCATAGCACAGGAGAAAGAGAGCACGTCAACCATTCATGCTTGTAGCAGTGAACCCTATCAATACAAAGACATCTGTCTCTCTGTGCTATTTAAAGGATACACATGAGCCTTTCCCTCCTGTGCTCTGTTACTATTTCCTCTCCTCTCATTCTCTCCTTACCAGTAGCCATGTCTTCCATCTTGCAGATATCCATCCAGTGTGCAGATTTCTTGAGATTAGCAAAAATTTGTTAAAATTGTCCGTTGGTGTCCTTAATTGCTGTGCTTTGGCCAATAGGATAATGGTGATGAATGCACCACTTTGAAAGCAGAGAATATGGAATTTGTTTCAGACTAGTTATCTTTCCCTCTACATCCTTGCTAAGCTTTTCTCTGGCCATAAATCGACCTGATATGGTCTCTGGTAGCATGACAAGTCTGGACTCTTTTTACAAAGTAGAGATTTTCCCACAGGAGTACAGACAGACTAGCACCTAAAACAATGATTATTAATAATAGTTTTAGAAAAATTAATGTATTTACAAGCACAAGTGACACACTGCTGGGACACCACTACATATTCCTCTTTGCGCTCTCTCTCTTGCTCTCTCACAATGCACACACGTATGTATGAGAAAGAGAAGCTATATTGTTCCATCTATCACATAAGAAACCATCCATCACAGATGAGAGAAACGAGATTTGTGCCTTAGCACATGTTGGCTTTGAGAAGCCTGCAAAGTCCTATGTCTGATTTTTAAAAAATCAGAAGATTTCAACAAAACATCTGCTTGTATTTCTGGTACAATCAAAGTTTAGATTCCTATCTGCTGGTTTTGGCTCCATCTGTCTGATGTTCCACGTCAACATACCTTGAAAATATTTTCTTTCCATTCTTCAGTTACTAGGCATTATTAATAATGAACTGCCATAACAGAGTTTAAGATAAGAAAAAAGGACAGAATTTGAGTAAGCACATGTCCCGAGTATCTAGGAGAAGGAAAAAAGGCATTTGGTGGAAGGAACAGTGAGAAAAACAGTTAGGAACAAGTAGTTCCCAAAGCACAGGATCCTAAGAAGCCAGGTTTTTAATGGATTTGTTGTCACAGATGACTGACTTTTAAAATGAATTATAGAAAAGCTGCGCTGTGAATTCACCTGGATTAGACATCTAGAATGGAGAATGGAGAATGAATGGAGAATGGAGAATGAATGGAGAATGGAGAATGAATTCAACAACTAAGGCAAAAAACCTTCAGCTGGAGTTTGTATCTCTTCTTGTAACCCAGAGAACATAGTTTGTCTTCAGGAGTGGGGGAAATTATCTCCCATGTGGCTTCTCTGATGCCTCAACAGAGCTGAGTTCATGCTACATTTTCTGTTTTCTCCTACCCAGCTGCCTGTCTACACTGACTGCAGGGATGTCATATTTTTACCAAACCTCCCTTTAACTGACATTGGCCAAAATCCAAAAGATATTAGGAGTCCTGGCAGAAAAACACATGCACTCACACTCATACACATATGCTGGGAGTGAAAAAAGTCTTCCCTTTTAGCAAGCCAAGCTAAAGTCTACAAAAATTACATATGAATTAGCATAATGTTATCCCCAAGATCATGGGGAGAAAAAGAAGCCATAGCTTTCAATAGAGAGCGCTGTTCTGTACTATGCACTTCATCAGCACCATGCGATAGGCCTGGGAAACTGTCTGCAATTCTGGACAACAAACTAAAAGCTTGAATTATGTCTTGTTTTTATTGTACAATAAATTACCTGATAAACTTACTAGTCTTTTCTGCAGTTATATAGTATGGAGGGAAGGTTGGTGAAAGGACTGAAAAACTGGTTTTCAGTTCATTTATAGAGAAAATCCTGTCATGTTGGATTGACTGGACAGGAATTTGTGTAGGCTTGTGCTGGAAAAACTAGCAAAAATGATTTCCACAGTCTTGAGGAAACACCCCTTTATTGTAGAGAAGTTTGTATACACAGATGAGATGTATTTACAACCAGCTTTTCTCAAACAGATGACTATTTAAAATCCCTCACAAATCAATCAAGAATGAAAGAAAATGAAGCTCAGAAGCCTAGAAAGCCAGCCCAACCCCCAAATTCAGTTTAATTCTGAAAGCTAATTGTAATGAGATAATAGTGCATAGAGTTATCCTGAAGAGAGCAATTTGAGTGTGGCAGAGAACAAAGGATAGACTTGAAGATTAGTTCAAAAGCATTGCTGAGTTTGATCTCAGAGCGAGTGAAGCATGGAGTTAAACGTCGGTAGACAGATTGGGACCTGCCTTTTCCTAGATGTGTGGAAGAGAGGCAGAAAGAGAGCCTTGCCTTTCCTCCCATGACCTCTGCAAGGACAGATCACAGTGGCAACCTCTCTGAAAATAAGTTTTAAGTCCTGTGTTCCTCTGGAAAACTCTTTTCCAGAAAAAGGCAGGAAAACCTTTTCTTTGGTCTGCACAATGGAGTCAGTGCACAGTGGGCAAGAACATGTGTCTTCCTTAGGAAGGTCACAGACTCGCATGTCAGGCCACTTACAGGAGAGAGCGCGCCTCCTGCAGGAACAGTTTCTTCTGGTGTCCTCCCAAATTATGGTTCAGCTCTGCACTGCCCTTTGCCTAACACTGTGTGCAATGGCATCAGTCAGCATGTTTAATTACCCCAAAATGCAGAGGAGGCACCATGGGGAGGGAGTGATGAGAGGTAGAAACACGCTCATTTTATTTCCTTTTTGTGTTCCTTTTCAGTAAAAAGTAGAACTTTCATCAACAACAAAAAGTTGCATGTGCAGGAGGCACTTCTCAGAGGAAGAAAAAAATACCTCACACAAGCATTCATAGATGGATGAGTCCCATGAGAAAGATTCTCAGCACAACCAGTTCAGTCATAGAAAGGAATCTAAAATCCCCACGTTTATGTACATGAGAAACACGCAAAAGGTATTTGCTAATGCTTGAGGAAGCTACATGCATAAGTTTCCCATAGCTTGGGGAAATATACTTTAGTATCTGCATAATTTACTTCACACTCAAAAGAACACGGCAGTATTTACAGGCACATTCCAACGGAAAAACATTTGCATATTGAGTGCCAAAGATGTAGCTTTCTCACCAAAACATGTGACTTTAAAAGTATAGGGTTTTGACCTCCAAAAGCAAAGATTTTGTGACTGTTTAAGAGGTTGCTGGAGCGGAAAAAGCTGTATAGAGAGAAAAAGAAAATTACTAGAAGTGGGCAACAATTTTTTTTTTTGAACGGTTGCGGGCTGGGACGAAGTGACTCTATGTAGTCCACAGATCCTGGCTTGCTCCAGTACATCACAGAGCACTTTGTCTGCTCTGATTTGCCATACCCATTTTTCCCAATTAAATGTTTCCCACTAATCAGGTTGATGAGAATAGTAGCTAACACTCATTGTTCCTCTAGCAGTCATCATCTTTCATTGCAATAATTTAACAATTTTTTGTGGAAGAGGAATGAAGTTGAATGTCACCTCTTTGGACTTGGTCTGTATTCTCAAGGGGAAAGTGGGCTTTTGAGAAACACATTTTAATGCTCTGGAACTTTTTTAAATAAAAAAGGAAAGTTACACTGAACCTGACTGAGACTGCAGAGTTCTGAGTTCTCTAGCACTGCATGTCAGACAGGGTGGAAAAAGCTATTCAGTGACTACTGCTACCTTATCACTACCCAGAATAGTTCTGAAACTAGTTCAGCACACTACTGTAGTCGCAGCACATTATTAAAACTATCTACAGATTTTTATTCATACAGTTTAGGTTTCAATACACCAGCAAAACAGCAATGTATAACCCATAGAGGTTATATCCTGGAAGTGAAATTATCAAACTATTGCTCCAACATCTGAAAAGTAAAGCTATCCTCCCTCTGTACATAGCATGTTTTCACTTATGCCGATACATAAGGTGGTGGTGGATCTTTAGCAGCTCCATTCACAGGATCGTCATAAGGTGGCAACAGCACCTGCAGGAAAGGAAAGGAAACAAGGTTATATTTTTTAAAAAGAAGCCAGCTGCTAAAATTGTCAGAGAAAAAACTTTAGGCCTTGTCCTAAAAATAGCAGAAGTGAATAAATTAGTAAACAGGAGCTGTCTCAGAAAAGAACATTTAGAAAACAAAACACTGGTAACTTAATATTGCTCCATTTCAGTTTGTGTTTATTTTCATTATGAAAGAAAAAAAGTGATTTCTTTTCATTTCTTACTGACTCCAGTGACAGCTGGATTTCAGCCACAGAGCACTGGTTGCTGGTACCTGAATCTGCTCAATTTGGCAGTGACAGCAGCTGCTTATTCTGCAGCTGTCCTCTTCAAGAGCTCTTAAACCACGTCTCCTGGAGAAGAGCTCAAATTGCTAAGCTAGAGTGAGAGAAGAAGAGTCCCCAAAACCTCTCTTGCTGAGGTCACACTGGAGCGACTAACAATTATTTTGGAGTGGTGAAAAGGACAGAAAGTGGAGAACAAATTACCCAATGTCTTAACTAAATCTCCAATTTACTGCTTATGGGGTATTCAGCTGTGAGAAGGAAGACCTAGATTCCCATAAGTGCACTTCAGTGAATATTTAAATAGCTGATCGAAATTAGGATGGGTTTAATCAGACATCATCCCCATTCATAACTGGGAGGCAAGACAGCGTCCTGGGACACGGGAGATGCAAATTTAGGCCACTCAGGGCAGAGAAGGCATTTGAACCAAGGCTTCTACTACTTTAAACAAACATGCTAGCTATCATGCACTGTGTAAGCACTGTCATTACATAGCTTGGATGTGAAAAGGCCCGTGGTCTGTGAATCTCAGCAGGCACTGAAGGTAAAATAGGTGTCAAATGAAGAATGAATGTACATTCCCTAAAATATCTCAATACTGTATATGAACATCAGTTACGGTGCACTGGCAGAGTTACTTTATGTAGCTGAAGATCATTTATTCATGATGGAACTTCCAGATTTATGAACATCACTTCTGGGTCATTAAAGGGCACATAAAGCTGAACATCTAAACATACAAAGGGAAAATCCCAATCCCATTACAGTCAATGGAAGTTTTGCCATGAGAGGATTTAATCAATATTCTTAAAGTTGATAGTCTGCAAAGAAACTTCCATAATCTTCCCTTTCAGCCCTCATCCATAATATAATGAAATCAATGTGAATTTTTCTATAAATTTAAATAAACTTTGGACCAGGCTCTTGCAGGACAATTCCAAGAGTGATTCACATTATACTTTTGTGAGCTTACAGACATGCATTGATGAGCATGTGTTCAAGTACATCTGTGCACATGCTTGCTGGATTACAAAACGGATACCTTGGCATCTTCAGCTCTTTGTCAAAAAAACCTTCATTATTTAGAAAAGGAAACTCTAACACATTTGCCAGAATCATCACTCTTTATTAATACCATATGTCTGAGCTTTTAAGTGGAATATACTGTTCATGCATCCAATACAAAATATAAAAAGCTTCGTATTAATAAGCATTCAATACATTATGTCAGCTTAAAGGGTGCAAACAACTTCTATCAGACAACAACCTAGTGAAATTATAATAACATATAGAACTTTAAACAAATACTATGATAAAAATCTTAAATACATGGCATCCTTGGTAAATCACACTGCCAAAACATGTAAACTATAAATGACACTTGAACTGGGATCCTCTCCCTAGTGCTAATCAATTGTTTAGTAGCAGGGTCTCTAGTAAAATCCTTGTGTTACTAAGAAGGCACTAATTTCTGAACTGCACTGAAACACATTCATCAGTCGATTATGAAGCACTATAATTAGCAATTAAATGTGTTCTATAGATGAGTCTGAAAATAAATCAAGTATGTTTTATGATGATTTAGTCCTCTTATTGCACCCTGTTGAAGGCTAAGTCTCAAACTGTTGCCTTTTCAGATTCAGAGTTCAGTTCTTCAGGCCTGATAAGAAATGGCAGTGGACTTGATCCAAAAAGTTGTCCATTTCCCAAATCAATAAATCTCAGATGTTCTCAGATACTCTTTTAGATCAATGTATCCTAAGACTACTGTAGTGTATTACTACACAAAATTACTACGTTAGCATTTTGGATACTGGCACTTTCAAGATGTCTGCAGAAGGATTTACTGATACGAGTGAGATTCTTCACTCTCTGAGGCATGTTCCCAAGAACATGAGAAGAGCCTCAATAGGATGTGAACACTCTGCTTTGCTCTATGAATGCTTCACTCACAGGAGGGTCAATGACCCCAAGGAGCCTCAGGAGATGCCTTCCTAACAGTTCAAAAAGAAGTGAGGGGAGATAGGAGGATCCATGGGTCCCATTTTGGAGAAACCACTGGCTAAATCCTAAAGCATATGCATTTCTATGGAAATATTAAATATGGGGTATGAATTGCAGAGGCCACTAAAAAGGTTCAGAAGGTTCACAAGAAAATATCTAGGCTGGAAGGCTCAAGAATGTTTGTAAAATGTCTATAAGGTTTAGGGTCACTCTATTGCTAGAAAAGGTTATTTGTCTGAACAGTTCTATTACTAATGCGCTTACAGGCTTATTTCCAATATACATCATTGGTTATTTAGATACCCTGATCTTGCATTTCCTTGACAGGAACAGGACAGTGAGCTGTAATGTATAATTATAGAATTATATACATTATATAGAATAATGTAGAATAAGTAGGATGCAAAACTACTACTTCAGCCTAGCAGTGTTTGAGTTAGACAAAGAAAATATGGACAGAATATTACACAAAGGTTAAGATAAATGATGATAGACAACACCTAGAAGAAAGCACTCAAAGGTTTGTGGAACGCATGGGGCCAGCTCGGATGCTAAGTACCTCAGCATAACTTAGTTCAGTGTCCTCATGTTGTTAGAACAGTAAAAATCCTTTTAACTAATTATCTATTTTACTTTTAGTCAATGAGCTCTGGTTACTGTACTTAATCGTTTGCTAACTGTAAGTCAAAATAGTCATTCTTAAGCTACCATGACAATTTGAAGAGCTCATCAACCAGTCCACAATTACAAATCTTGTAAATCTGCCTCTGTAAGACCACTTTTTAATTATTTTTGACTCATGCAAAGTTTCAGGCCGTTACTTTACCTTAACAATCTTTCAATCTTTTCTCAATTAAGTCCATTTTGACCAAAGGGAAAAATATGATAAAACTTGAATTATCTCAGCTTTTAACTGTTTACCGTTGAACTCAAAAAATCCCAAGGAAAAGAGAACATCATTAAAATTTTAATCACTGAATTTACACCAGAGTTGCTAAGATGAAAATCTGGACCACAGTAGTTATCTCTTCTCTTCCATCAATCTTAAATCTCAACATGGTTTAATGGAAGTAGGTAAGTGCCTTGGACATAGAACAGCTTAGCTGCTCAAGCAATACCTTATGCTGTCCAGAAACTACTAAAATGGAAGCCAGTCACTGAGGAGGTGACATTACTCGCTCTTTGTACGGTTGGCTAATGATAAATGCATTGCCCAGAGACTGTGAGACCAGAGCTCTAGGGGGGTTCAGACTGACAGCTCCCACTGCTCATATGCATGCCTCAAACGCAAGGTTATCAGCTGGGCTGGCAGGGCCATTTTCCACCCTCCTGATGAGGCTGAGAAGAAACTCAGGTACTGTGAAGCCAGGTGTGCAAGAGTCCATGGGGAAAGAAAGAAAGAAAGAAAATAAGAGGAAGTGTGGCTGCGTAGCCCTATGGTTAGGGTACTCACGTGGGACAGAGAGTCCTGGGTGCTGGGTCTTGCTCCCAGCAGCATTTAAGTATTTTGTGATAAGCAATCTTGTTCCATAACATACAGGAATAATCCAGAACTGACCTGTGAGAAATTCTGGTCCTGTCTTAACTGGTATCATCCAAGTTGTTTCGATAATTGTGTTACATAAACCTCTCTCTATTATAAAGCACTTGATACAGGATGACCTTCTCTGGAAGAAATAATTACCGTATGATTTTCCCAAAGACTATGACTTACTCAATTAATATAAACATATGTACTATCTCAATTTTTGTGTCCTGGTTAATATGTTTTTGGAGAACAAACTTTTAAAGATATTGTTTAGAAATATGCCTAAGAAGAAACCTGGGCAAATATTTGTATATTAAAACAGTTTGGAATTAATCTTGGCCCCAAGAGTTATTGGCAATTGCATAATTTCAATGATCCTCCCACATTTTTTGCAGCTGTTTCCACATTTACTCGAACCTCAAGTAGAAAAATTTCTTTCTTCAGCACATGTACAGGTTATCTAGCATTGCTGCATTTATTCCTGTCCGAACTACAGATCTTAGATCTGTTTGCTTTCTAAAACACAAAATATACTTAGTTCCCTATGGGTAAACTTAAATATTTAATTAATTGATTATTTCTGCATTCTTAAGGGTCTGATCCAAAACCCACTGAACTTTACAAAAATCTTGCTGTGTCTATGAGAGCTTTGGATCATGTTTTTCCATAGCCATTTGCATTCTTCACTGAGTGGAAAGGTACAATTGTCGCATGACAGCTCCTAGTTTTAAAGCAGGATTTTTGCTGGTAGCTGTATGGAATTTTTGTAAGTTCTCATAGCAAAATATCTCGCTGATGTTTTGTTAGACACATTGTTAGAACCAACCCTAAAATACTTTTCTCTAACATTTTCTAGAACAGAAATGCATTTGACGATGCCAAAAAAGCTACAGATTAAACATTTCAATGGCAAGTGATCATGGTGGTAGGGAACATTCAAGATGTTTTCTCAAACTTTATTTTCCAAATGCATCAGTTCTTCAATCTCCTTTCTATAAATCAAGGATTATTCTATAAATTATAGAATAAATTTGAGAAAAAAATCCTTCTGTGCATCAAATGAGATTAAAGGGTAGGTTGAGTGAAATTAGGATCATCATCAATTACTTTAGGCTAAAGGTAAACAACAGTTGCATAAAAGATATTGCATTGTACAATATTTAA